TAACGTGTGAGTCAGAGGGAACGCGCGTACTAACATCTAAACCGGAAGGAACGCGCTCGCTCGCGGTAAAATCTCTATTCTCGGAAGGACTTATCTGTTCGTTTGCGGTTCCCTGCAACCTCTCGCGGAGCTGTCGAATCTCGTTGTCTCGCTGTTGCAGAATCGCCTCAAAGGCGGCGCGTTGCCGCTGCTGCTCCTCACGCAGAGTCGCTTCAAACGCGGCCTGTTGCTGCTGTTGAAGCGCGCGCTCTCCTCTAATTTCGCGCAGTTCCTCTAGCGTGGAGCGGAGGACTTCCGCCAAGCTCGGCATCTCCTCCCTCTGCGCGTGCACACGTTCTTTTTCTCGTCGTTGCCATCGCTTTCTCCTTTACTCGGTTTGCTCGTATATCGTATTCGCTCGTTCGATTCGCTTGACCGTTCTATCCGTTCGATCCCGGACGAGCCTCCAAAATGTTGCGCTCTGTCATTGAGCTTTCACTCGCGTGCCGCACTCACACTGCACTCGCGCAAACACGACCGAAATAAAGGAGACGAGATGTTTAATAAAGAACTCTCTTTAATATCGCAACAGGAATACAAGCGCTCGCTAGCACGTCCGAATCGGTTGACGGCTCGTCGAGAATTCTACCGATCGTGTTTTTAACAAACGCGCGCCGCGTCGTCCGGAGAACACTTCGCAGCTTCAGGCTAAAGCTACGTACACACACGGGTCGGCTCAACCATGGGCATAACAATACGATATGAAAAATGGGTTATTTTTTCTTCTCATTTCTCGACAAAATTTGATTAAAATTCTGCTTGGTGGATTAAAATGAGCTTAACTCTTCGTTCTACTGTATCATTTACGACTTTAAGCGTTTTCGCAATTTCCATATCAATTTCATATCAATTTCATTGAACAAGCTGCAATTACTTTTTTTAGAAAGTTTAGAAAAAAAAGTTTATTCGTTGATAATTTTGAATTATAAAGTTTTCATGCACTAAATTTCAAAAATATAAATCATAAATCTATACTAAAATAAAATTTAAAAGAATTTTAAATTGAGTTAATTGCAAAATTCTCTCAGGTGTTTTTCTCTTTTTCTCTTTTTCTCTGAAACACATTACGGAAATATTGCCATTTAATATTTGAAAAAACAAACTTGATATTTACAAAGTGTTTCGAGAATTAATTTAAAAACTTCAAATTAGATGTGCCACGTCTTTCCATTATCCGATCGAGCTCAACTTTTACACAATTTTTTTTTACCAAATGGAACAACTTTAGGGGGCATCGTGGAAAAAATTCAAAAGTCAAAAATAAGATTCACCCTAGTATGTATTTATCGTGTGTTAACATACGTATATTAATGCATGTAGTGTACACATATATTTATTAATATAGTGCAATATTTAAATATATTTTTAATATTAATAACTCCTAACACGTTATATATAATAAATGAGATGTCGTTATTTTCAAATAATTACAAATTATTCTTGCATAATACTATAAAAAGTACAATAATGAATTATTAGCAGATGGAACATAAATAGCGTAAATTATATCAAATACTCAACTCCAAACAATCAAATATTTTTGATCTGTTATCAAACTACAGTTTAAAAATATATTAAGCAAAATTTAAAATACTTCATTAAGAAATATAGATATACTCATATGTTTTCTAGTAACTTCATTATAAAATTATTAATTACAGTTTACAACATTTTTGACTTCAAAATGTACTACAGATCACATTATAAAGACTTTTTCTTTATTGATTGCTACCATTGGTTCAATTATAAATTATTACTTGTTTTACATTAACGGTGACATAGTAAGTTGATTATTTATTATATTTGAACAAAGATGGATTTACATAAAAAAATTCTGCAACAGTTATAATTTTTTAAATTTTTACTCTGATAAAAGTTACATAAAAACAATGATATGTATAAAAACTTATTAAATAGGTAAAATATTTAATAGAACAACTTCAGCGTGTCTATGATGATTTAAAAGACAATAATGAAATTGCCATTATAGACAGATATGGAAACTATGCGAAACGTTATACGATTTTGATTACAAGTAAGATAATATTTTTTATTTTCTATTCCATTTTGTAATTTAAATAGATTTATAAATTTAAATTTCTATAAAATAAGAAATGTTTTGAATTGGACAAAATGTGTTAATTCTTGCTTAAATTTAAATACAATAAAAAAAATATAGAAATCAAAACCATTAAGAAAAATATATCAAGAAAATAATATTATCAAAATAAATTCTGTTTTGTACATTTTTATTTTCAGTACACTTCAATAATTGCAATTACGGGACTCAGAAATGAAATTATTTATATATTCTGATTATAATTAAAATATATATTAAAATATATACTCTATTAAATATAATAATAAATAATAAATAATAAATAATATAATGTCAAAGTAAGAAGGCAATGCCGAAAACAAGAAGATGTTTCGTGACGGTGTACATGACTACATGTATAGTGCGTGTATGAAATATCTTTTTAATTTCGATACATTGTAAATACAATACCAAGACCCATAAATATTAAATTTATAAGATTTTTATATTTATTCAATAAATTAATAAATTACTGTGTTAAATGAACACAAAATAAAAGATAATACTGTCAAAAAAATAATTTAGAAAGTTATATATATTAGATATATTGGGAGAAAAAGGAACTTTAAATATCGGGTATACAATCTCATACATACATAAAAAATTTTACAGTGCTAACAAAATTGAATGATTAATTTCTTATAATGTTGTTTAGTGTTACCTATTTGTGGTGTATTTATCCCTATCGGCCAATTGCCATATTTTAAGAAAATTTTATTCGCAAACGAGTCTCAATTACGTCGTTTGCCAATCTCAGCTGAGTATTTTATTGATCAAGAAAAATATTATTACATATTAATATTCCACATAAATGTGGCTTTATTTATAGCAATGCTTACATTTATGGCAACAGGAGCAATACTTATGGCATACTTTCAACATATCTGCGGAATGTTTAAAATTGCTAGGTAAAAAGTAATAAATTTTAAAATAATAAAAAAATTAAACTTAAGAAAAAGTTTCCGTTTCCAATATCTGAAAATTTTAAATCCGAAAGTTTACTTTAAAAAAATATAAAATTTTTTAAATATAACATGCGTAATAACATATTTACAATAGGCTTATTGCAATAACGAAACTTTAATATTCATAATACAATGACGTGCAATAAAATGTCTATACAATTATATTAGCTGTTTTGAAAACAAAATTCTTAAAAATATAATCAGATTCAGACTCAAGAAAAAAATATATTTTATAATTTTCTGCTATTAATACTAATTTGTAACTTTTCCGTTGTATAAAATGCTCTATATACATCAAAGCAAATATTTTACAGACCTAGAGAGAGAACTTACTGCATAAATATTCAGTGTACATGTTTCAAAATTGTGACTATTTAACTTCGAAATTATTGCTCGTCTCATATACATTGTCATATAGTAAATATTACTAAATACTTATATAATTATAATAGCTAAATTTACAGTTACCGTATCAAGAATATAATAAAAATTTACATACAAAATATTAATTTGGAAAACAAGAATTTGATTTATAAGAATCTTATTTATGGCGTAAATATTCATCGAAAAGCAATAATGTTGGTATTTATATTTCATAATATTTCTATAACATATGCATTAACAATCTATTTTTTTAAAGGTTATCCGAATATCTAATATCTAAGTTTGAAATATTATTCATGTTTTTAACAGTGATCGGAGTAATAACTTTGAGTCTTAATATTTATCGAGTAAGTTTTATTTTGTTTATAAATTTACTTTCAATATATGTATACTGTTTTATATCCATAATATTACAGATTACATTTTCTTAATAATTATAAAACACAGTCTTAATATTTATTTAAAGAAATAAATAATACTAAATTTTTTTAAAAAATTTGTCATTATAATATAATGCAATAGCAATAAAAAAATGGTATAATTGTAGATCAAATGTAGCAATTAATGGAAGGAAATTTATTTGTATATAGATTGTTAAAATTTTAAAATGTAGTTAGAAATTTTTATTCCATATTTTACACTATATTTTAAATTTTATCTAATTTACTTTGTAATTTAAAACTTAATTTTTACAACTAAAACTCTACAGTTTTTGCAGATTTTATCGTCTAATTATAAGACTGTGGAATTTGTATTAGCTTTTACAATAATGTATGTCACTTTTATACATATGTTCTTATGCAATATAATTGGACAAAAAATTACAGATTACTACAACCTCTTATTTGTTACTGCGTAAGAAATCTCATAGCTTATTACATATTATGTAATCATCTTATATACTTTCATAAACTCTAGTAACAAAGATGAATGTACATATAATAACACACAGCAACTATACACATGCAAAAATAATGTACAACTACTATTTCTCTTATTGATTTTTGTATCGTTATGTAGATATGAAGTTGAATGGTATATAACTCCTCCATATATACAAAAATTTATATTATTTCTATTATTAAGAGGCAACAAGCCTTATGGCCTAAGAATTGGTGGATTGTTCATAGCGTCCTTACAATGTTTTGCAACGGTATGAAACTTTTCATATATGTATATATTATACATACAGGGTGTTCGTAAAGTATCGGACCCCCCCCCCTCTATCTTCGAAAATACTAACTGGATAAAAAAACTTTAAACACAAAACTTTTAGAAAATTTTCCTGGCTATCTGATGATGACCTTGGATCATCAAATAGCCAGGAAAATTTCTTAAAAGTTTTGTATTTAAAGTTTTTTTATTTAATTAGTATTTTCTGAGATAGAGGAGAGGTCCGATTCTTTATGAACACCCTGTACGTGTGCGTGGGTGCGTGCGTGCGTGAGTGCGTGCGTGCGTGCGTTATAATATATTAAATGTATCATACTTAAAAATAATAAAACAAAATTATTTCATGTTTTGTAGCTAATAAATGCGTCCTTGTCTTACTTTCTTGTCATCAACTCTGTGCGGCAATGACAAAGATACATATCATCGAGTGTATATTATTATAATAAAAAATTAATACAACATAATGTTTTATGTTTGATTGAATAGTATATGATTCGAAAAATATGCAAATCAGTATTTGCATTGATCATAATTTTCAATTACATGATAATGTAGTAATAAAGTAGCCATAATAATGTAGTAATAAAAAGAATTAGAAAATAAAATGTTTTTATTAACAATAGTAAATGTCTGTTTATTTCTAGCATTGTTTTAACAAATATGATAATCCAAGTATTTTCTTAGGAAATGGTGATGTTTAATCTGTGTAATATGCTAAATATGTTTTCCGTATGTATGGTAAGCACAAAGGATATTTTAATAGAAAACCTATGATTTTGTAATTGGCATCATTTATTCTTAATATAATTAACAATTTTACAAACGCATAGAACTTCTATAAGATTCCATTTTTCCTTGGAATAGGCAATTATATATGTTTTTATTAGTTTATACCGAGAGGTAAACCGCTGAGGGCATTGCGGTGTACCGATTCGAGGCATTGCTAGGCATTATCTGGACATTAGTGGGCATTACTTATAGTGGGCATTGCGGGTGGCCTTAGTGCACATTATTAAATCACCATTACGTTTTATTTTTAAACAATTGATAATTGTTTTATATCAAACCATATTTATAATACATAATAAACTATGAATATTAAATCATGGCGCTCTCACGATGTTATTACGAAGGGGCATTACGGTTAGTGAGATATATATGTACATACTGGAATGAACCTTGGGATGGGGGGATGGCCGAACTCTGCAACAGTAGTGCGAGAGTGACAGCCATGCACCTTAGGGATGTCTGCTTCACTTTAATGACGTAATTGAAGTGAGGCAGACGTCCCTAAGCTGCATGGCTGTCACTCTTGCACAGCGGCTACCCGCACCACGTGTTTTCTTAGGGAAGGCTCACTCCAGTATATATATATTTCACTGGTTACGGTCGGTCAGCGCTACTATCGTTCAGTGCTGCAATCAGCTAGTGCTCAAATAATGCTACTGCGTCATATGGATCGAGATGAATATGTACACGTCTAGCTGTTTCAGCAGAGCGAATCCGTTCAACTTTATAATATTGTACAGTGATATGTGCTATCTGCAGAATAACGTCTGTTAAGAAGATCTATGATAAAGATCGATTATTCTTCGCGTGAACAAAAAAGAAGGTAATGTCAGTAAAATAGAGTGTTTTAATGAGTATTTTGAAACATAAGGAAATTGTTGTGTTTTATTTAGTTAATAAGTTATTTAATATGTTATAATCGCAATTCAATAAAATATTTTTTTATTTACAGTGTCAGAAAGTGTTGGGGTTTATTCAACAAAATTCACACGAACGTTGCTGTTGTCAATGAAACTTTATTGAATAAAGGTTATATGTTAGCACACGAACTTTCATACGTCTCTCACTCACGCTGGTCTCAGGTCAACTAACCAACACCAGTTGGTCCGCAGGCCAAAAAGCAAAAAACACAGAATGCGGGGGAGGAAGGTTACAGGCAAAGGCTGAGACCCCATTGTGCTACCTGTTACACGTAACAGACAAGGCTCTAATAGGAGAGAGTTAAACTATCCATAGACCATGCATTCTCAACACTCTCTCCAGAGTTTAACTCTCTCTCACTCTCTCACCTTCACACCAATACTATCCCGCAAATACTCAAACCTAACACGCGCTAAAGGTTTTGTTAGTATATCGGCAACTTGATGCTCGCTTTTAACATAAGTTGCATTCACAACATTTTTCTCACACATCTCGCGTATAAAACAGTATCTCACATGAATGTGTTTTGTTCTCTTATGGAATTCAGGATTTCTAGCAAGTCTCAATGCGCTTTGGTTGTCAACTCTCAGATCGACTGGTCCCCTATGCTCGTATCCGATATCAGCCAGCAACTTTCGCAACCATTCGATATCTTTTGCTGCTTCACTCGCCGCTATAAACTCGGATTCAGTGGTGCTCAGAGCAACACAGTTCTGTCTGCGTGAAGACCAAACTACTGGCCCCCCAGCTAAGAAACTCACACAACCACTCATTGACTTGCGCGTCTCAGAATCTCCCGCATAATCCGCGTCGCTATAACTTACTGGCGCGTCGTATTCCCTTTTTCGATACAATATGCCCACGCTTTTTGTACCCGATAGATAACGCAAGATCTTCTTCACCGCTTCCCAGCATGCTTTATTGTAGTTCGACAGAAATCGACTTACGAAACTTGTCGCAAACGCAATGTCAGGCCGACTAACCACTGCTACAAACATTATCGATCCTACTACCTCGCGAAATGGAACTTTAAAAGAATTATCCGTATCACCGCCGCGAATACTGTCGATCGAAGCCTTGTCGATTGGTATGCTCACACTTTTGCATTCATTCATTCCAAACTTACTTAACATTTTCTCAATGTACCTCTCTTGATTTACAAAGATGATTCCATTCTTAGAGTCTCTATGTATTTGCATCCCGCAAAAACTACTCGCGTTTAGAATTTTTATGCTCACAAACTCACTCAACGCTTTAATCGTGTGTTCTATCGCGTCGCTTCTCTTCGATAGAATTAGCCCGTCATCTACATACAAGGCTAGAATCACTGCACAGTCTTTAACGTGACCATTGAACACGCACGGGTCTGCTTGGCTTTTCACGAATTCGAAGTTACACAAGAACTCACTGAACGTCGCATTCCAGCATCTTGACGCTTGCTTCAGCCCATAGAGTGACTTCTCCAATTTCAGAATACGGTCCTCCTTTTCGTTGTCTTCGATCTTGAGACCATCTGGAATCTTCATGTAGATATCCTCCTCCAATCTTCCATTTAAAAAGGCTGTTTTCACGTCGAATTG